ATTCTCATTTTGTTTATATGTCGTTTCCCTGTCTATATCCATGTGTTCTCTTAGCTCTTTTAGCATCTTAAGACAGTTGTTTTCAAGTCTTTGTCTAGTAAATTTGATATCTATACTTTCTGAGGAACATATTATGTCCATTTCTTCTGTTTCTTTGAATGTGTAATACTTTCCTCTTTCTTTGTATGCCTCGTGTGTTGTTTTTTTTTGTTTGTTTGTTTGTTTGTTTTTTGCTTTTTTTTTCTTAAAAATGGAACATTTGATTCTTACAATGTGGTGATTTTGGAAATCAGATTCTCCCCTTTCCCCAGTGTTTGCTGTTGCACAGTGTCTTTGTACTGTAGATCAGACTGAGGAGAAAGCTTCAGACTCGGGTTTTTTGTGAGGTTACATCTTATCCTGAGCAAGGATACATTTTTTAATGTAAAAACAGAAACAACCCCACAGTGCTTATCCTTTATATCCTTTTTATCCCCCCCCTTTTGCTGGTGGGGATTTGAACAGTGGCAGCTAGCTTCTAATTTCACGTCAGCCATGAGAAACTGCAGTCCATAATCAGAACACAGATCCTGATATTTCAAGGACAAGGTTCTTATTGCCCACTCTGATTCCAGCAAGCTGCACCAAAACCACAGATTGCTCTCCCTGTGGGTTCCTTTCACGGGGCTGGGAGGTAGGGGCTAAGTAGCCACTATTGTGCTGAAAGCTGAAATTGGCCAATATAAACCACATTTTGCCACTCAGGCCTTGGCCTGGAACCTATAAGCATTCAAATAGTTTCCAGAGTTCCAAATAGTTATTAAAAAGATATATTCTAGGGGCTCCTGAGTGGCTCAGTCAGTGAGGTGTCCCCTCTTTTTTTTTTTTCTTTCTTTTTTTTTTAATATTGTATTTATTTACTTGACAGAGAGACACAGCGAGAGAGGGAACACAAGCAGGGGGAGTGAGAGAGGGAGAAGCAGGCCTCCCACCAAGCCAGGAGCCTGATGCGGGGCTCGATCCCAGAATCCCGGGATCATGACCTGAGCCGAAGGCAGACGCTCAACGACTGAGCCACCCAGGTGCCCCGAGGTGTCCCCTCTTGATCTCTGCTCAGGTCTTGATCTCGGGACTGTGAGTGCAACCCCTGTGTCGGGCTCCACCCTGGGCATGGAGCCTAATTTTAAAAAAAGAGAGAGAGAGATTCTAGGTTCTAGTATAATTGTTGTCAAGGTGAAGAGATGAATGTCTGGCACTTCCTACTCTGTCATCATCCCTGATGTCATACCTCAATTATTAACAATTTAAAGAACCTTATCATCTATGTCCTGTTGAGTTTGTCATTAGGGCCCACTTCAAATATTATTTTTGTCTCCCCACTATCACCCCATACTAGATTTTAAACACCTTAAGGACAGGGATGGGGCCAGTTTTTCAAAGTGGCTCCACCATTGTATATTTCCACACCAATGTATGAGTTTTCATTCTTCCACATTCTCATCAATACTTGTTACTCTCTGTCTTTTTTATTTTCTCTATCCTAAAGAGTAGTAGTATATCATTGTGATTTTTTATTTGGATTTTCCTAACACTAATGATGTTGACCATCTTTATGTATTTATGGCCATTTGTATATCTTCTTTGGAGAATTGTCTATTCAAGGGGCACCTGGGTGGCTCAGCAGGTTAAAGCCTCTGCCTTCAGCTCAGGTCATGATCTCAGGGCCCTGGGATCAAGCCCCGCATCAGGCTCTCTGCTCCGCAGGGAGTCTGCTTCCTCTTCTCTCTGCCTGCCTCTCTGCCTACCTGTGATTTCTATCTGTCAAATAAATAAATAAAATTTAAAAAAAAAAGAGTTAGAGAATTGTCTATTCAAATACTTCACCTACTTTTTAATTAGGTTTACCGTTTCTACTATTGAGTTGTACTTTTCAAATATATTCTAGACACAAATCTCATCATATACAGGATTTGCAAAACTTTTCTTCCATTCTGTATCTTTTTACTTCTTGAGAGTGTCTTTCAAAGCATAAAGTTTTCAATTTTAATACTTTACATTAATCTTTTTTTCTTTTATTACTTGTGTAATATCTAAGAAATGTTGCTTAACCCAACATCATGAAGATTTATTCTTGGGGTGCCTGGGTGGCTCAGTTGTTTAAGCATTTGCCTTTGGCTCAGGTCATGATCCTGGGGTTGGGGAATTGAGCCCTGCATTGGGCTTCCGGCTCAGCAGGGAGTGTGCTTCTCCCTTTCCCTCTGTCCCTCCCCCTCCCACTCATGTACTTTCTCTTGCACACACGTGTTCTTTCTCTCTCTCTCAAATAAATAAGTAAAATCTTTTTTAAAAATTTATTCCTGCATTTTCTTCTAAGAAATTATAGCTTTGTGTATTTCATTTAGGTCTATTGTCCATTTTGAGTTAATTGTATATGGTATGGGGTAGAGCTCCAACTTCAGTCTTTTGCATGAAGATATAAATACAGTTGTCCTAGCACTGTTTGTCCTAACACTGTTCTGTTCCCTTTGATTTATCTTGGTACCATTGTCAAAAATCATTTGACCATAAATGTATGGGTTTATTTTCAGACTCTACCTTTGATCTATATGTCTATTCTTATGCAGTAACACACTGTCTTGATTATTGCAGGTTTTGTTTTTTGGTTGGTTTTTTTTTTTTTTTCATATTGGTTTTACAGTAGTTTTGAAATCAGGAAGTACAAGTCCTCCAACTTTATTCTTCTTTTTCAAGAGTTTTTGGCTATGCTGGGTCTTTCACATTTCCATATGAATTATAGAATTAGCTTGTCAGTTTCTGTAATAAAGCAAGGTAGGATTTTAATAGGAATTGTATTGAATCTGTAGATCAGTTTGAGGGAATATTGGTATCTTAATAATATTAAGTTTTCCAATCCATGAATATGGGATGTCTTTCCCTTTATTTAGATAATCTTTATTTCTTTCAATGATATTTTGTAATTTTTTATTGTATAAGTCTTACACTACTTTTGTTAAATATATTCCTATATCTGTTCTTTTTGATGCTATTATAAATGTAATTGTTTTCTTAATTTTATTTTCAGATTATTTGTTGCTAATGAATAGAAATTCTGTTGATTTTTGTATATTAATCTTGTATCCTGCAACCTTTCTGAATGTAATTGTTGCAGTAGTTTAAGTGGATTCCTTAGATTTTTCTGTATACAAGATTTGTATACGAGATCATGTCATCTGAAAATAAAAATAGCTTAACTTCTTCCTGTTTGATCTGAATGCTTTTATTTCTTTTTCTTGCCTAATTGCCCTGGCTAGAATCTCCAGTACGGTGCTAAATAAAAGTGATGAAAATAGCATTTTTTGTCTTGTGCCTGATCTTAGCAGGCACTGCTAAGTGCCTCTTTCATCGTTAAGTATGAAACTAGCTGCGGATTTTTTGTAAATGCCTTCTGTCAGGTTGAGGAACTGTCTACCTATTCCTAGTTTGTTGAGTGTTTTTATCATGTATGTATGTTGGATTTTGTCAGATACTTTTTGTGTGTTGATTGAGATGATCATTTGGTTTTTGCTTTTCATTCTATTGATATGATGTGTTACATAATTGAATTTTTGGATATTAAAACAACCTTGCATTTCTAGGTAAGTCCTGCCTAATTTTGTTACATGGTGTTTATTATATGTTGCTGGATTTTTTTTTTTTGTAGTATTTTGTGGAATATTTTTGTACCTATATTCATAAGGGATATTGGTCTATAGTTTTCTTGTGATGTCTTTGTCTAGTTTTGATATCAGAGTAATACTTAAGGAAGTGTTCCCTCCTCTTCTGTTTTTTTTTTTTTTTTAAAGAGTTTGTGAAGGATTATTTATAAGTATTCTTTAAACATTTGATAAAATTACCAATAACCCATCTTAACTACACTTTTTGGGGGTAGTTTTAAATTACTTATTCAGTCTATTTACTGTTATAGATATATTCAGATTTTCTCTTCTTGAGTCAGTTTAGGTAATTTGTGTGTTTCAAGTAATTTGTCCATTTCTTCTAGGTTATCTAATTTGTGGCATACTATTGTTTATAGTGTCCTCTTACTGCTTTTTTTTATTTCTTTAAGGTCAGTGGTGATGTTTCCTCTTTCATTCCTAATTTTAGTAATTTGAGTCTTCTCTCTTTTTTTCTTGGTCCGTCTAGGTTTGTCAATTTGTGGATCTTTTTAATGAACAACTTTGATTTTATTGGTTTCCTGTATTGTTTTCATTGTTTCTATCTATCTCCTATCTAATCTTTATTATTTCCTTTCTTTTGCTTCCTTCATGTTTAATATGCTCTTCTTTTTCTACTTTTTTAAGGTAGAAACTTAGTTATTGATTTGACATCTCTTCTTTCTTTTCTTTCTTTCTTTTTTTTTCTTAGATTTTATTTATTCATTTGACAGAGAGAAACACAGTGAAAGAGGGAACACAGCAGAGGGAGTAGGAGAGAGAAGCAGGCTTCCCTCTGAGCAGGGAGCCCGATGTAGGGCTTGATCCCAGGACCCTGGTCGAAAGTAGATGCTTACCAACTGAGCCACCCAGGTGCCCTGACATCTCCTTTTCTAATATATCTTTTGGGGTCATAAATTTCTCTCTGGCACTGCTTTAAGTTGCAGCCCATAATTTTGGTCTGTTGTGTTTTCATTTTCATGCAACTCAAAGTATTTTTTTAATTTACCTGTGATTTCTTTTTTGACCAATTGGTTATTTAGGAATATGTTGTTTAATTTCCATATTTTTGAATTTCCCAAATTTTTGTCTGTTAATTTCTAATTTAATTCTGTTGTGGTTGGATAGCATTCTTTGGATGCTCTCAGTCCTTTTAAGTTTATTGAGGCTGATTTTATGGCCTGACATATGGTCTATCCTGGAGGATGTTCCATGTGCACTTGAGAAGGGTATGTATTCTGCTGTTAGGGTGGAATGTTCTGTAGATGTCTTGATAGGTCTAGTTGGCTTATAGGATTGTTCAGGTCTTCTGTTTTTTTTTCCCCAAAGGTGAGACATGGAATCCCTTCAAATTACAGTACCAGCTGAGAAATGTAAGAGAGCGAATTGCAAAGAACCTAGTAGAAAAGGGTATTCTAACCACTGAGAAGCAGAATTTCCTCCTATTTGACATGACTACTCATCCAGTGACCAATACAACAGAGAAACAGCGACTAGTGAAAAAACTTCAAGATAGTGTCCTAGAGCGGTGGGTAAATGACCCTCAGCGTATGGACAAGCGAACACTAGCACTCCTGGTGCTAGCCCACTCCTCTGACGTGCTAGAGAATGTCTTCTCCTCTCTGACAGATGACAAGTATGATGTGGCAATGAATCGAGCCAAGGACCTAGTAGAACTGGACCCCGAAGTGGAGGGGACAAAGCACAGTGCCACAGAGATGATCTGGGCTGTGCTGGCAGCCTTTAATAAATCCTAAAGCCAGTGGATGGGTTTCTTCTTTTTCCCCTGCTGGCTGGTGACTGTCAGAGACACCACACTGAGTTTTGTGTGATGAGATGTTTTTCATCATTTCTTTTTTCCTTCTCTTGAATGAGACTTGTGATTTGGGGATAGCAGCTTCAGCGCTTCTCCATAAACTTTAGCCATTGTAAACATACTTTATTTCTTCTTATTTTTCCACTACAGAGGTGAATAAACTAGGTCAATCCACATATATCCAATAATCATTTTCTCTCATTTCTTGGTTTACTTCCATCAGTATGCTTTTGGATAAGCAGGAATATCTAAGTGGGATTTGGAGTTCTCCGGTCAGAAAATGTGAATGAGATCTAGAGCAAACCATTTATTAAATCTTTTAAAGTTTGTTTTAAAAAAAAAAAAAAAGTTTGTTTTCTGTCCTTTTTTTTTTTTTCTTTTAAAGTAGACTCCATGCCCAATGTGGGGCTTACTCATGACCCTGAGATTAAGAGTCACATACTCTACCAACTGAGCCAGCCAGGCGCCCCTGTTTTCTACCTTAAATACATGTTTTCACAGCCTTTGTCTCTCAGGCTCTATTAAGTAATGTAGTTATTGTAATAACTGTCTCTTTGAATAAGGGGCAGTGGAGATAATACTAATATTTGGAGCAGCTGGTCTCTGGGATTGTATGTCCCACTAATGATTTTTTCATTTTTCCTTTTCTAACCTAATGAGAATATTGCAAATTTGATTGCCTGTTCTCACAGCCTAGAATCAGAAATATATTCTATATTCTCTCTTAGCATTATCCTACCACCTCATTCATTAGGACAAAGTCTGAATAATAAAAAAAAAATGATTCTCTCATGTCCATGTATCTCATGTCCTTCAGTCAGCAGTATGATTTACAAGGGAGGGAGGCAGCATGAGAATTTCCACCCATTAGCACATGACTGTCCTGATTCCTCCAGATTACTCTACATGTCTCTGACTGAATTGAGGAAGTTATAAATTTCAGTTGCTGAATAGCAGCATCCTGAGTCCAGAAACTCCATCTAAATTCAAGATGTTCTTGTTCCCTATTTTCAACTTACTTTGTAAACTGATAGATTCTGTCTATATTTAAGTGTCCTAGGAGTATTTTTGTCCATATATAATCCACAGTTATCCTCCTGGTTGTTAGTCTTGTTTCAACACAGCCATCTATCTACCCAAATCTCTAAAAAGTTTCAATTTTTTCAATTCAGTGGTGAGTGCAAAGAGAAGATGAAGGCAGATCCTATTGGAAGAGTAATTTGGTGTCAAAAGCTTGCGGATGCAAAGTCCTAGTGTTTGGGAAGCATTTATTAAGCTAAATTTTTTTAATGAATCATGCCTCTTGACCATTACATAGAAACAGATTGTCAGAGGGCTAATACAGCCAACCCAGACCTGATATCAGATCTTCAGCTATTAAATGAATGATTGTAACTTTCATCTCCCCTAAACTTGTTTAGCCCCACAGAATTCCCCAACTCAACTCAATTAAGTTTGTCACTTCAGGTATTGCTTATGTGACTAGAGATACAAATTTTAGTGTGAAATGAATTCTAAATGTGAGCCTGAGTAGAGTTTTCCGTGTGGTTCTCTGAAAGTACAAAAAGCAGTCCATGTATTGTATCTACCTGACTGAGTTTTCCTTTCCATTTGAACAATTCAGCACGAATTGAAACCAGGTTTTCCTGTGGAAAGTATCAGCTTGATTGTGGGGGTGGGGAGTAGAAGTTGAGTTGAGTTCTTTCTTGCAACTCTTGGTCAGTGTTTATTTTTATATTGTATCTCAATGAGGATGTCTTCAGTTTGAATCTGTATTCACTGCAAAACACCTTCTCCTTTAATGCATATGGCCTTCACATTTCTGTATAATAAATATCAATTATTGGTTCTCTGGGTGTACTACTTCAGTCATTTTTTTTTTTTTTTTACTTCAGTCATTTTAATTGGAAATAAGAACATTCCACACAAGGCCAGTAACACTATCCCTTTACACCAGGAGACCATCCTGTTTCATCCTGTGCAGAAAATTAGGAATACACAAATAGAGTTGTAACATATATAGGCTGTGGGGCAGGGCACATCAAGGCTAATCTGAAGAGCAGCTAATGTTGTAGTCTGAATAGTGTCTTCTTCTCAATCAAAATAATTTACCCAATTATAACATTATTATCATGAAGAAAAGAAGTATGTTTTACTTGCAAGTGATACTTAAGCTCACCTAAGAGCTGGAAGTCTTAAATTGGCAACACAGGTAACATACCTCTCTGTGACAGAGTTAACAGTATGGTGTCTCTCCCAATTAGATGGAGCCCCCGATTGTGAGGCAACCTAATAGGGTGGAATCTGAGGGTGCATGTGGTGAAAGGATTTCACCTGAAGCAGAACAAAGGAGATAGAAGTTTACTGAATACACTGCAAGGGAGTGGTGGGCAGGACAACAAAGCAGAGACTGTGGGGACTGTATTTAAAGGGAGAAGGTGAGGGGGTATGGGACATAGGGAATTTTCCCTTTTTAGGTAATTGTGCCTGGTTGTAAGTAGCCCATTGGTTAGCTAGGGCCTTTGGATATTTTGAGGTGGCTCACCTGAGATGGGCCTGTCTGTATTCAGGGGGTAATGGTGGGCCATTCTGCCTTGCTCAAATTTCCATTGCTCAAGCCTGTTGCCTAAAAGTGGCATCTACAAAAAGCTAATTGTGCTTTTGGGGTGCCTGGGTGGCTCAGTAGGTTAAGCCTCTGCCTTCGGCTCAGGTCATGGGGTGATCTCAGGGTCCTGGGATCGAATCCCGCATCGGGCTCTCTGCTCATCAGGGAGCCTGCTTCCTCCTCTCTCTCTCTCTCTCTCTCTGCCTGCCTCTCTGCCTACTTGTGATCTCTCTCTGTCAAATAAATAAATAAAATCCTAAAAAAAAAAAAAAAAAGATAATCGTGCTTGTAATTGGCTTATTGTTCTTCCCTTCTTTATAATGTCTACAGCACAGGGGACAGTAAGAAATATATTTACTAGAATTGTTTATACTTGTTTATTTTATTTCAAGCAAAGCATTGTTACCTTTATGTAATGTTTTTCAAAATGTGGTGCAAAGAGTACTGTACCAAAATCACCTTGGGGTGAGGGTAACCTTGCTAATATTTAGCAGGTTTATAGTAAATCCATCTCTGGTAGGTTACGGGCTTAGGAAGCTGCATTTTAAACACAGTCTCCAAAAGCTGCATGTTAAATTTTGAGACCACTGCTTGATATTTTATTGCTGTAATTCATTCATCCCCAAAATATTGAGTACTTACAAATTTGGCATTTAAAATTGCCAATAACTGGCACTTGCTAGGTGTTGACAATAAAAAGTTGTATAGGACACAATTTCACCTCCAAGAACTCACATTAAAGTAGACAAATAGGATACTTTTTGATTAGCGCTCTAATAGAAATAGAAACTTAATACTTGTGTTTTTTAAGATTTTTTTATTTGACAGCACAAGAAAGAGGAGAGGTGGGCAGAGGGAGGGGGAGAAGAAGCCCAGTGTGGGGCTTGATCCCAGGACACTGGTATCACGACTGGAGCCAAAGGCAGACACCCAACCAACTGAGCCACCGAGGCACCCCAAATCTTAATATTTGGACGCACAAAGAAAGATGTGACCTTCTTCCTGGGACCAGTAGGACAGACTTAGAGGAGTTGTATTAATTTATAGTAGCTTTCATGTACTGCACATTTGTGAGGTACTACGCTACTTTATATATTATTTATTCCTCACAACACTAAAATCCCGTAAGGTTGTTTTAAAGAAAACTCAGGTAATAAGGCTTGCCTAAGGACACAATGCAGAGTGTAAATTAAAATACATGCTTTTAACCATTACTCTCTCCTGCCTCCATTTAAACTTGGTTTTGAAGAATCTTTTCAGGTTGAGGAGGAAGAGCTGAACCATTTGATGCAGGACAACAGTATGTCCAAAATAATTTGTCATGTGCTGGAATTTGTGTGTGAATATGTGTGCTTTTCACATGTCTTTAAATTTCTAAAAGATACCATTCTAAGGGAATATATTTAAGTTGTAAACTAAAAGTTTTTTGAAACTAGAAAATTATCTATTTTTGTTTATCTTCATTTATTCCTTCCCTGGTGCTTTTCTTTCTATAAAACCAAGTTTCTGACATATCATTTTGCTTCTAACTGCTTTTAATATTTCCTTCAAGGCGGGGCACCTGGGTGGCTCAGTGGGTTAAAGCCTCTGCCTTTGGCTTGGGTCATGATCCCAGCGTTTTGGGATCAAGCCCCGAATTGGGCTCTCTGCTCAGCAGGGATCCTGCTTCCTCCTCTCTCTCTGCCTTCTTCTCTGCCTACTTGTGATCTCTGTCTGTCAAATAAATAAAATCTTTAAAAATATATATATATATTTCCTACAAGGCATATCTGCTGCACATGAATTATCTCAGTTTTTGTCTGAGAAGGTATTTATCCTTCCATTTTGAAGGATAATTTCACTGAATATAGAATTCTAGGTTAAAGGGTTGTTTTTTATAACAGTAAATATTTTACTCTCTCCTTTTTTCTGACATCAAATTTTTAAAAAAACTGTGAAGAGGATTCTAATTAAAAGATTAAAAATTGGGGGCCCCTGGGTGGCTCAGTGGGTTAAAGCCTCTGCCTTCAGCTCAGGTCATGATCTCAGGGTCCTGGGATCCAGCCCTGCATCAGGCTCTCTGCTTGTCAGGGAGCCTGCTTCCTCCTCTCTCTCTTTCTGCCTGCCTCTCCACCTACTTGTGATCTCTCTCTCTGTCAAATAATAAAATCTTGGGGCGCCTGGGTGGCTCAGTGGGTTAAAGCCTCTGCCTTCGGCTCAGGTCATGATCCCAGGGTCCTGGGATCGAGCCCCGCATCGGGCTCTCTGCTCAGCGGGGAGCCTGCTTCGTCCTCTCTCTCTGCCTGCCTCTCTGCCTCCTTGTGATTTCTGTCTGTCAAATAAATAAATAAATCTTTAAAAAAATAATAATAATAATAAAATCTTTAAAAAAAAAAGATTAAAAATTTGATCTTCCACTTTTCCACATAACTAAAATGCCTGTAGACACATATTCATATGATTTCTAAAAATGTTTTACTCCTTAAAGAATAAAAATAATTGTTTTAATGCTGAAATAAATTAGGTAGAACTTTTTTTCCTGTTATCTATTACATGTATACATGGATCTCTGTTCCTTTGTCCCCAATTCTTCCCCAGGCTTTGGTCTGTCTTCCTTTTCTCTTCATTGAGTTCCAGTAAAAAGAGACAGACAGACATAACTGTGTATTAAGCGAGAAAGGGAGCCATCTCTCCCAGCAAGCAGATTAATTATCTCAGAATGTAAGTCAGACAAAGTAAGATCACCT